GACAAACTTTATGTAGTGCAAGTGCAAGTCAAGTCTTGCATTTATAAATTAAACAGATGAAAACGTTGTGGTTTTGAGACTAAGCATAGAAAAAAAATATCCTCAAGGTTTACTGGTTATGATTAATAAATAGCCACAAACATGCTATGCTAAACTTGTCCTTCCGTTTTGGCCTGACCATATCACCATTTGGGTTCAGAATGATGCCAATATCTTACTTCTGAAATTGAGAGCACTTCTGTGATTTGGTCCAGAAGATGAACTCTGAGGCTTAGTCTTTAAAAGCTGATGATTTCCCCAGATACTCAGAACTCGTTTTAGGAAATCAGCTCTTCCCTGTGAAGGTTAGCAGGAAGGGAAATAAAGTGTTTTTAAAATTCATCATTAAAAAAAAAATTAAAAAATTTTTCAATCTACAGTGAAACCAGAATGAAAGTAGTGAAATGGCTGGTTTCTTTCCCCTTCTTGAAAAAATAGCCTGAAAGTCACTGTAGGAACTAAGAAACTTAATTTATTGTGTTTATTGTAAGAGTGTCTGAGGCACCAGCCATGAGAGATCCCGTGTATGGAATATAAACAGACAGAGAAGAATATCTGCTTACAGTAGATTCTTTAGTCTCTGTTCAGGTGCTGGGTGGCTTACGAGCTGATTCCAGTGCGAATCATTTTGCTCAGACACATCTATCTAAATACACAGTCAGGTAACTATAGGAGGAAAAAACCCCCACTCACTGTCATAACGTTAATTTGGCTGTTGAGCATGAGGACATGCTTGCTGCTGCCAGAGCCCAGGCAGTAACTTGGTACAAGAAGGAGAGTTTTGGCTCATTTGTACAGATGAGGATGCCTCCACGCTGGGAAGAACACTTCTGCAAGCAGTGTTGTCTGAAACTGTGGCAGAAATTTTAAACATCAAGGAGGAAAAATGTGACATGAATCGATCTGTGAAAGGGATCAGAGTCATTAAGATGAAAAGGCTGGGTGAACTTTAGAGACTGGAAGTTTCCTTAGCCTGGTAGCATTCCATTGCAGGCTGATGCCTAGTTTGAAAAACACCACAGCTTCTGCATCAGATCTGTTAAAAAAATGAGTCTATGCAGTACAGAATGGATTTAAGGGATGTCAGAGGATTCCTGATGTTTCAGGGAATCTTAATGCTGTTGATGAAGCAAGATTTTGCAGGAGCGTTTAGATCTAATTCATGGTTTCAGAAACTGATTTCAGGTACATAGATGTGAAACTGCAGCAATGGGAGGAAAGAGAGGAAATACTGCACCTGCTCC